TCCTGGGATCAAGCCCCACATTGGGCTCTCTGCTCAGCGGGGAGCCTGCTTCCCACCACCCCCCCCCCCCGCCCTCGCCTGCCTACTTGTGATCTCTGTTTGTCAAATAAATAAATAAAATCTTTTAAAAATTTTTTTAAAAAGTATTCTAAGACCTAATGTCCAATTTACTGTGTGGATAGAATAAAAATACTTTCCAATATTCAAGGCCTCAAAATATTCATTCTTCCTCAGAAAACAATAGATTTGCTCTATCAAAATGAAAGGAAGTCTCTCTCTCTGAAGAGAAGTAAAATAGTGAAACCACTGCCTCAAATACCATGAACTTGGTGAGAGAACCTCTGGGTTCTCAGGCTGAATGCAGCCCAGGGTAAGGCCAGTGTACACTACCACCAAGAGTCCAATTCTTTACCCCTTACCTGAAGTCCCTCATTACCTTCCCCAAACCCATTCACTCCCCAGACACAGAAACACTCCTAAGCATTCGTCTAAGGCAGGTAGTAAAAAGCAACGAAAAGTGTTATTAATCTTTTTACTACTGAAAATTCCTTTTTAAAGCTAATTTTTTAACCCAAACGAGACTCCAAAACTGAGGGGGCAATGAACAATAATGAAATAATGTGTATGTCATATATGTAATTTTAAAGTCCTGTAGAATGAGGCGATCTATCTGTCAAAATAATCAGACAGCCTCTAAAACTATAGAAACACTATAGCTAGAAAACAGACATCTATCAAGTTTCTAAGTGAACTTCTAAACTCTAAACCACCTTTCCCTAGTTCCATGGAAGAAAACATTTTATTTCAAAATTTCACTTAAAGCTTATTCTATTGTTGTTGTTGTTGACTACTGCTCTTAAGTTCCACCTAAAAAAATATGTTTCTCATTTTAATAAACCCAGCACATTAGGCATCAGCATCTATGGCCACAACTGCCTTCAGTGCTTCCCTTCATGTTTCAGTCTCCTCACCAGCTTGAAAGTCTGTTTCTTCGTCCAGCCTGGGCTAATTGTGCCCACAACTCTGCCTCCCCAATTATCTGCTTCCTTCCTGGAACTCAGCTACCTCATCCTCAGCTTCCTGGAAGCTAATCGGAAACCAGGCGGGATTGATAAGTATAGTAAAAACCATGAGGATCCTCTTGGAGATGATTATCTATCACCTTAGTAATTTTTGCCTGGATGCTCTTGCTACTACTGTAAAATCTACTAAATGAACACAACGACGAAACCAAACATGCACACACACAAAAGGAAGGAAGTCTTGGGATTCAGAGAGCTGAGGATCCAACGCCAGGAAAGGCTGTAGTAATCCACAGGAGGTGGGGCCTGAACGCAGCTAACTTATGTTGGAGCAGTTAAGACTGATTTAGCGGGGCACCTGGATGGCTCAATCAGCTGAGCCTCTGCCTTCGGCTCAGGCCGTGATCCCAGGGTTCTGGGATTAAGCCCCTCATCGAGCCCCAATCAGCGAGAAGCCTGTTTTCTCCAACTCCCCCTGCTTGTGTTCCCTCTCTCGATGTGTCTGTCTCTCTGTCAAATAAATAAATAAAATCTTAAAAAAAAAAAAGACTGAAGGAGCAATATTGTCATGGTGAAATGATAAAGTGCCTGCTGTGCTTGAAAATACAGAGAAGGAAGTTACACAATTGGGAGTATGAAGAAAAATAAAAATAAAATAAAGGAGTATGAAGAAAAATCAGCCTTTTAAAAGAAAAAGAGGGGCGCCTGGGTGGCTCAGTAGGTTAAACTGCTGCCTTTGGCTCAGGTCATGATCCCATGGTCCTGGGATCGAGTCCCTGACGGCCCCGGGCTCCTTGCTCAATGGGGAGCCTGTCTCCCCCTCTCCCTCTACCCCTCCCCACTGCTTCTGCTCATGCAGCGCTATCAAATAAATAAATAAAAGCTTAAAAAAAAAGAAAAAGAAGCATTTGAACAAAAAAGTGGTTAATGACATCAGGAAAAACAAAACTTTATGCAAGAAATTGGAGTAAACTATTGCAGCTACAGATATTATTTACAAGGTCATAGTAGTATAAACGTGAACACCCATCTAACAAAATCATATTACTGAACTGGGAGGCTCCCAGGTCTGATATATATAGGTAATCTAGGAGAAAAGGGTGAAAGGTATTGGTACTATTTATTTATTTATTTATTTGGAATGCTGGGGGTGATTTTTATGCACACAAAGACTGTTTACAGATTTCTTTGGAAATTAATATTTTATCTCCTAAAATTGTAAAAACCAAACCTTTAGCCCTTTCTTAAGCTTTCAAGTTTTACTTCCAAAACTTACTATCCTGGGGTGCCTGGGTAGCTCAGTGGGTTTAAGCTTCTGCCTTCGGCTCAGGTCACGATCCCAGAGTCCTGGGATCAAGCCCCACATCGGGCTCTCTGCTGAGCGGGGAGCCGGCTTCCTCCTCTCTCTGTCTGCCTGCCTCTCTGCCTACTTGTGATCTCTGTCAAATAAATAAATAAAATCTTAAAAAAAAAAAAACCTTACTATTCTATTCATTAGCTTAGAAAGTTTCCTTCTTTCTTTCTTTCTTTCTTTCTTTCTTTCTTTCTTTCTTTCTTTCTTTTTTTTTTTTAAAGATTTTACCTGTTTGAGAGAAAGCAAGCATGAGCTGGAAGTGGGGGGAGAAGAAGAAGCAGACTCCCTGCTGAGCAAGGAGCTCCAGGAGGGGCCTCCATACCAAGACCCTGAGATCATGACCTGAGCTGAAGGTGGATGCTTAACAACTGAGCCAACCGGGCTTCCCAAGCCTAGAAATTTTATTTTTTAAGATTTATATATTTAATGGGGGGGAGAGGCAGAGGGAGAAGCAGACTCCACACTGAGCAGGAGCCCCATACAGGCTCAATTTCATGACCCTGAGATCACTACTTAAATGGAAACCAAGAATTCTGAGGCTTAAATGATTGTACCACCCAGGGGTCCCTCCTTTGTTTTTTAACCACTTTGAAGAATAAAGCACAATAAACGATTTACATTAAAATTTATACAATTGGCCAGTTTTGACATCTAAACCACATCTGGTGAAACCATCACTGTAAAGATAATGCACATTTCCATCATCCCCAAATGCCTCTTTCCAATCCCTTCCTCCCTCCATTATCACCCCCAGGCAATTACTTCTTACTTTCTAGAACAATAGATTAGTCAGCACATTTTAGGATTTTATATGAATGACAGATCTCTTTTAAACAAAATTACTGATACTATGGGTTTTTTAAAGATTTTATTCATTTATTTGATAGAGAGATCACAAGTAGTCAGAGAGGCAGGCAGAGAGAGAGGGGTAAGCAGGCTCCCCACTGAGCAGAGAGCCGGCACAGGCTCTATCCCAGGACCCCGAGATCATGAGCTGAGCCGAAGGCAGAGGTTCAACCCACTGAGCCACCCAAGTGCCCCAATACTACGGTTTTAATTCTCTTAAATATTTCTATACCCAATTCTAAAACTTCAGTGAAGTAAAAGATCTCCACACACATACACATAAATGACAATCACATGCATAGAACTGTAGGCCAGCTAAGAAACCATGTATTATCCTATATCATCAAAGAGATTTCAGACTAGAGATTTTCATGGAAATACCTCTTGGACTGGGTTCTTGTTGGCAACACTGAGGGGACCTTAAAATTAAATTTGTAGTTGCTAGATTAGTGAGTCCATAATCTCCGGAGGGGGCATTTATGAAGCCCAGATCCTTGGGTGTCAGTTATACACACACTTAATCATTCTGCCTACTCACAGAAGTTTGTAACTCCATCCTGTGATCCTTTGAATGGATTTTGCCCTTCTTTTGCTCTCAATTCATATTCTGCTTGGTTCTCAAGACTTTGGATATTGTCAGACACCGACAAATTTCTCACTCACTTCTTTGGCCTGCAGAACTCCCATAGAGGATACAAGGATGAACTTGAATTCTGGGGTTCTCTCACTGCTGGGTCTGGGCATAACACCCCAAACTACTGATTCAAGAGCAATATAGCTTTATCTTCCTGAGTAGCAGTCAATGGGTAATGCTTTAAGCTGGGCCAAAAAACTAAGACACAGAAATATTGTGTTACTTAGAATTAGAAAGACAGGAGAATTAGAAAAAACTTTTAGTGTGGGCGCCTGGGTGGATCAGTCAGTTAAGCATCTGCCTTCAGCTCAGGTCATGATTCAGGGGAGCTCCCTTCTCAATGGAGAGCCTGCTTTTCCCTCTCCCTCTGCTGCTCCCCCTGCTTGTGCTCTCTCTCTCTGTAAGATAAATATACAAAACCTTAAAAAAAAAAAAAAAAGGTCTCATTGGATTCAAAAAAGTTTCAATGGATTCCCCTATAGTGTCCAAACCGCATAGACCATTTGCTGCTACTGGGTATGCTTAGTTGTCTGTGACAGGTTAAGAAAGAAGCTGGAAATGTGATGGCTTCTAGGGAGGGAACTCAGTGGTCAAGGTTCAGGAGGAAGTAGGACTTGCTTTTGCCCTTGAATACCTTTCTTACTCCTTAAGCTTTTACTTTTCCCATGTTTTTCATTAGGATTTCCATGAAAAAGTCATGCCAACCCCTCAGGAATGCTGGTCCCATTAGAACCGTTGAAAAGCACGTGTGTCTCCGCACATACCAGTTCGCTTGTCTTAAAGATACTGCCCTGATCCTGGATCTTCCCTACCTCTATGCGGCTGTCCTCACACATACCCACACACCCGCCCCCCCGCGGGAGACCAGCTTTAGGCACAGAGCTCCCACCTGGCGCTCCACCTCAGGCTCCCAGCGCCTGGGGAAAAAGGCGGGTCCCGAAAATAGCCCCTCCTAGACCACACAGGTGCTCGACTCAGCAGCGGAGGTTTGGGAGGCGAGGGCTGGAATCCAATGAAAAGGGGAGGGGCTTGCCAAAAGCCCTTGAAATAAGGCCCTGGCCGCGCCGCAACTGCGGCCGCTGGTCCCAACCTCCGCCTTCGGGTTGGCAGCCGCTCGGCTGCTACCAGCCAGGCCTGCTGCAGCATGGCCACTCCCAGACGGTTTCCGACGCTCGTGCAGCTGGAGCAGCGAGAAGGGGCGCTGTTCACGGTGCTCGGTAACCTCACCAAGCGGCCCTACTGGTTCCACTTGGAGTATCTGAAGAGTCCGAAGGCAGTTCGCCTCGAGGCGTGGCTGGTGGAAGCGATCTTCGGTGAGTGGGTCCCCGAGGGGTGGCCAATGCGGTCTTTCCCTCTCCTTTCCCCAGGGTAAGCCTCTCCACTGGCTTTAGCCACAATCCAGAGCTGCCTCCCCCCCGCCGCCTTCTCTTCCCAAATCCCACCGCTCACAGCCTCTTTGCTTCCTGCGCAGGCCGGGGAGGAGAGCACATCCCGCACGTCGAGTGTGTGTCGCAGACCCTGCTTCACGTTAATCAGTGGGACCCCGAGGGCGAGGCTGAGATCTTGATATTTGGTCGGCCTTATTACCAGAAAGATGTATCCAAGATGATCATGAATTTGGCTGACTATCACCGCCAACTCCGGGCACAAAGTACGGAACCGGATAAATAGGGGCACCCTGAGCAGGCCATGGGTTCCTTGGGGAGGATCCTGATGCTTCCTGGATGAAACCGGGCAGCGGTCTCATCCTCTCAGTCCGTCCGGGAGAGCGATTCCTTCTTGCAAAGGGATCTAGAAGGTCAAATTGACCTGGTACTCTCAAGTTCCAGACCCCAAACCCCAGCCCATACGGATGAATCCTTTTGTGGAAAGAGTATGGGGACATAGGTAAGGTCTCCACACTGTTCTTCCAGGCTCAGAGAAGGTCCCTGTCCAGGACGCAGCGACCCAGCGGTCCCCCGACGCTGCCCGAGAAGCAGCGACCCAGAGCTCCCCGAAGGCCGCCCAGGAGGAGGGGACGCAGCGGTCCCCCGACACCGCCCGCGAGGCGGCGACGCAGCGGTCCCCCGACACCGCCCGCGAGGCGGCGACGCAGCGGTCCCCGAAGGCCGCCCGCGAGGCGGCGACGCAGCGGTCCCCGAAGGCCGCCCGCGAGGCGGCGACGCAGCGGTCCCCCGGCGCAGCCCGCGAGGCGGCGACGCAGCGGTCCCCCGGCGCAGCCCGCGAGGCGGCCACCCAGCGATCCTCGGACGCTACCCAGGGCCGGGTTACCAGCTCATGAAAGCACTTTGGGCCCGGGAGCGGGAGCCGGGCAAGGATAGAGTGGAAGACCTCACTGCTGCTAAGTACTGCTTCTTCTTGCAGAAGCTGGGGGAAGAATGGTGTAGGTAGTTCTTGGTCCCCGCCCCCCTTGTTAAATGTTTGCAAACACTGATCTAAAGAGTTCTAATAAAGAATCGAATTTCCGTAATAAAGAATTGAATTTCTCTAGCGCCTATTAATTGTCAGGTAAAAGGGGAGGGAGAGGCCTTTCCTCCAGCAGCCAGTATCTGCCCTAGGCTGCTCTTCACCTGGACGCAGGTGAGACCTTTTGGTTTTCTATCCGCCGGAGGCAGCGCTCTTCCCGGCCACCGGCTGGTCCTTCCCTCGTGCTCTTTAACCGCAAGAATCTGGTTTTGCCGGTTAAGAGGCTTTTCCACACCATGGAGTCCGTCCTCACTGGAAAATTTAAAAGCCTGTGGTATTTCTGTTCTGATATGGGATGAGAAAACTTGGTTCCAATGCAATCCGCGTGGCTGGATGTTTCGTGGCACTGGAAGCAGCCAGCGACTTCCCAGTTTGTATACGTGACGGCGAGGAAGGGGGAAATTGGGTGAAAGAGCCAGGACTGCCCTGCTGTTGTACTCAAGTCTTGCGAGGGCCATCCGACCTTCAGCGAGGTTTGCTGCAAGTTAGACACGAGCAGTGCTGTTGTTTCTTCCCTTAGTAACCACAGTAGCCCGGAGTCCTGGAGCGGGATGATTGTCACTCTCTTTGCCATTGTTTTTTTAATTGAAATATATTTGACATATAACATTGTGTAAATTTAAGGTATACATGTTAATTTGATAGATTTACATATTATAATATGATTGCCTTTGTGGTGATAATTATCATCTCTATCATTTTGGCTTCCAGCTCTATCCTGGCAGCTGGGACTCCAGTGCCAGGCTAGCAGAAGGAAGCAAACTGTTAACAGCTGGGTGCTAGGATAAAAACCCAACACCAGAAATCTTTGTGTTATGAAATTTTCATTTAAAAAGTTCAAGGAAACTGGGGCACCTGGGTGGCTCAGTTGGTTAATGGTGTGCCTTAGGCTGAGGTCGTGATCTTCAAGTCCTTGGATCAAGCCCCCCACATGGGGCTCCCTGCCTGGGGGGGGGGGTGGTTAGGGCGTGATCTGCTTCTCCCTCTCCCTCTGCCCCCTCATCTTGCATGCTCTCCCTTGCCCTTTCTCAAATAAATAAAATCTTTTTCAAAAATTCAAGGAAATCTAACTTTAAAGACCAAGGGAGTGGAGGGGTGTATCTATCATATACCCTTTAGTCACCACTTATAGATGACCACCCCAATTTTTAAAAAGCACTTATAAGGGAAATAAAATGCAAAGCTGAATTCATAATGGTTTTTAAACTATTTTTAGTAGAAGCAAAAAAAAGCCTAGTTGGAGTGAACTTCAAACATTTAAAACTCAAAAACAATGCAGACTCAGTTTTCGTTGAAGCCACATCAGAATAGTATAAAGAGTTGATGTTGACGCTTTTCCCCCTCTAAATAGTACCCATATGACCACAACGTCAGATTTTCTCCTTTACAAGAAAGATTACTGGTAGCAGGCAGATACAAGCCACAGGAGTCTATGACTATTCTGAAACACACAGAAATGACCTATACATACACACAGACTAGTCTGAAATGGTTTTGTGAAAGAAGAAAATGGTAAGATGCAGTAACATCCTTGGTGGGAGATCAGAGCCAAGAAAAGAAGGGAGGTTGAACTTGAAATAAAAGCATTTAGGTGTGATGACACATACATAATATTCTTTATGCATATCAAATGTTGGATTTTTATAAAAAATCTATTATTTAATCCAGAAGGGGAATATCGGAGTAAATAAAAAACAAATGTTCAAATAAAAAAAAAAAAAGACAACCAGGGTGCCTGGGTGGCTCAGTGGGTTAAAGCCTCTGCCTTCTTCTCAGGTCATGATCCCAGGGTCCTGGGATCGAGCCCCACATCGGGCTCTCTGCTCAGCAGAGAGCCTGCTTTCTTCTCTCTCTCTGCCTGCCTCTCTGCCTACTTGTGATCTGTCTGTCAAATAAATAAAATCTTAAAAAAAAAAAAAAAAAAGACAACCAATTAGACTCCTCTCAAAGCAGGGCATGAAGCAGTGCCACCTGAGTTTTCACCAAGCTCAGGGTCCCCAGAGCAACCCATCTGCTCTTTTCAACCTATTCTCTTATAGGAAATCACTTTTAACAGTTTCACATATACTTTTACATAATTGCACATTCTTTTTTTATTTCAGCAGCCTGATTTTCCTCAGTAAGTGTACACTTTCACTCTTCCCTTACTACTGGTTGATTAGTTTGTTTCCCAAATTTCTCAATTACAAACTGTTGCACTGAATTCCTACTTGTGTCTTCGTATCTATGTTGAAATATTTTTTTATTTTTTTAAAAAGATTTTATTTATTTATTTGAGAGACAGAGAATGAGAGTGAGTGAGCATGAGAGGCGGCAGGGTCAGAGGGAGAATCACACTCCCCACTGAGCAAGGAGTTCCATGCAGGACTTGATCTGGTACTCCAGGATCATGACCTGAGCCGAAGGCAGTTGTTTAACCAACTGAGCTACCCAGGTGCCCCTCTATGTTGAAATATTTTTTTAAGATTTTATTTGAGGGGCGCCTGGGTGGCTCAGTGGGTTAAAGCCTCTGCCTTTGGCTCAGGTCATGATCCCAGGGTGCTGGGATCGAGCCCCACATCGGGCTCTCTGCTCAGCAGGGAGCCTGCTTCCCTCTCTCTCTGCCTGCCTCTCTGCCTACTTGTGATCTCTGTCTGTCAAATAAATAAATAAAATCTTTAAAAAAAAAGATTTTATTTGATAGGGAGAGAGAGTGAGAGCACAAGGGCGGGGGGAGTGGAGGCAGAGGAAGAGAAAAGGAGAGGAGAAGCAGACTCCCAGCCCCATGTGAGACTTGATAGCACTACCCTGAGATCATGACCTGAGCCAAAGGCAGTCACTTAACCGACTGAGTCACCCAGGCGCCCCTATGTTGGAATATTTCTATAGAAATCTTCCTAGAAATGGAATTGCTGGGTTAAAGAATGAACACCTTTAAAACTGTGGCTCATTCGGTTAAGTGTCTGATCTCAGACCTGGTCTTGATCTTGATCTTATTTATGAATAAAATTGTGATATTGCCAAACTGCCCTACAAAACGACCATATGGATTTATTTTCCCATTATAAGATATTGGAAGTTATTTTCACTAAACTTACTCAAATTCAATGTTACCAATCTATTTTATGTCCACATCGATCACTTTTCTATTTTTTTCAATACCTATCCCACTGTTTATATAGCTTTATAGAATGTTTTAATATTTGAAAGGCCAAGCTTACTCTCACTGTTCAATTTGCAGTCTTAGTCATTTGTTTTCCAGATGAAACTAGTTATTTATTTTTTAATTCCAGTTAATATATAGTGCAATATTGGTTTTAGGAGAATTCAGTGATTTATTACTTATATACAACATCCGGTGCTCATCACAAGTGCCCTCCTTAATACCCATCATCCATCCAGCCAATTCCCCATCCCCACCACCTCTCTCCAGCAACCCTTAGTTTGTTCTCTATCATTAAGAGTCTTTTATGGCTGGCTTCCCTCTCTCTCTCTTTTTCCTCCCCGCACATATGTTCATCAGTTTTGTTTCTTAAATTCCACATGTCAGTGAGATCATATGTCAGTCAGCCTCTGTACTGACGTTGTCTGCTTAGCATAACACACTCTAATTCCATTCATGTTTCTGCAAATGGGAAGATTCCAATCTGTTTGACGGTTGAGTAATACTCCATTCTGTATATATTCATCTGTCAATGGACATTTGGGCACTTTCCATATTTTGGCTATTGTTGGTAATGTTGCTATAAACATTGGGGTGCATGCATTCCTTCAAATCTGTATTTTTGTATCCTTTGGGTAAATACCTAGTAGTGGAATTGCAGGATCACAGGGTAATTCTATTTTTAACTTTTTGGGGCACCTCCATACTGTTTTCCAGAGTGGCTACATCAGTTTGCATTCCCACCAACAGTGGAAGAGGGTTTGCCTTTCTCTGCATCCTCACCAATACCTGTTGTTTGTGTGTTGTTAATTTAGCCATTCTCACAGGTATGAGGTGGTATCTCATTGTGGTTTTGATTTGCATTTCCCTGATGATGAGTGATGTTGAGCATCTTTTCATGTGTCTGTTGGCCATCTGGATATTTTCTTTGGAAAACTGTCTATTCATATCTTCTGTCATTTCTTGACTAGATTTTGAGAACGTCTTGACTAGATTTTGAGAACGTCTTTATAAATTTTAGATACTAACCCTTTATCAGAAATGTCATTTGCAAATATCTTCTCCCATTTCATAGGCTGCCTTTTAGTTTTGTTGACTGTTTCCTTCTCTGTGAAGATTTTCATCCTGAAGTCCCAACAGTTCATTTTTGCTTTTTATCTCCCTAGCCTTTGGCGACATGTTTAGTAAGAAGTTGCTATGGCCAAGGTCAAAGAGGTTGCTGCCTGTATTCTCCTCTGAGATTTTGATGGTTTCCTGTCTCACATTTAGGCCTTTCATTCATTTCAAATTTATTTTTGTGTATGGTGTAAGACAGTGGGGTCTGGTTTCATCTGCATTTTGCTGTCCAGTTTTCCCAACACCATTTGTTGAAGAGACTGTCTTTTTTCCATCGGATGTTCTTTCCTACACATGAAATAACTTAATAAAAAACTTAGAAAATTGGTTGAGGGAAAAGGTGTATACTTCCAAAACACTGGGTTTCTTTTATTAAGGTACACTAGAGTGCTCATTTCATTCTTTTTTTTTTTTTTTTAGATTTTATTTATTTGACGGAGATCACAAGTAGGCAGAGAGGCAGGTAGAGAGAGAGAGAGAGAGAGAGAGGAAGGGAAGCAGGCTCCCCACGGAGCAGAGAGCCCAATGTGGGGCTTGATCCCAGGACCCTGAGATCA